TATAAAACTAACTAAACACTTAACTACTAATTATTTATATCACTACAAGTTTATTTATTTGCACTATTTATTTATTTCTTCGCGCGTACCAAAGCTCAACTAACTGCCGTGTGCTGCTCCGTTTCTTATATATTCAGCGCCAAGGTCTTCTGGAACATTCCAGCGAGCTCCACACTCTCGATTGTTCGAGCGCTGAGTCACCGGCGATGACTCATCGGCGATGACTAACCAGCGATGAGTCATCACTCCGATATCCAGAGCGGTACTCGCTACATTGCCCCCGTCTTAAAACATTTTCGTCCCGAAAATGGTCCTCAGTTCCATGGCGATATTTGCATAGAGATCCAAACTTGCATTGTGACGTCCTATAGAAGTAGCAGTCTACGGTCTTCCTTCCGGTTGTTCTTTTAGGGTTGTGGCAACAGACAATAATGTGTATGCCACTAAATCTGAAGATAACTTCCACCATACTTCTAATTATTCTCCAGTCCAAACCGTCAAGTCCACAAGCAATCTTTGGTATCGCCAGGTTCATGATGTCCTTGGACAAAAGGGTATCCCTTAATTTATTTAAGACATTCCATACGTCACGGTAGTTTGGCTTCTGATGAGAGAGCTGCTTCGTTACCAGATAGAAAATACTTCTGTTGCCTTTCTGCTCATTATTCACAATTTCAAGCACCTCTCCAACTTTGGGATTCTGCCTTCGTAGCTCTTCGACCCGTCCAAACTTGTTTTTAAAGACAACCGCTATTCCCCTGGACATCCTTAGGTCTTCTGCAACACAGTGAGCCAAGGAGTAATCGGCCGAAACCGTAAACAGATCTTTTTGTTCTTCTCGAGTGACACCATACCGAGCTTTTTTACCGCTCGAATATAAATACATGAAGTCTTCAAAAAGCAATTCGTCTTCCGGAGGATTAACTCGTCTTACTCTAGCATGGTTTATTTGGTCATCATTGTTTCCAGCGTAAGGAGCCAATCGGTTAAAATGGATCACTTTCGGCTTTCCTCTTGGTTGTTTTCTGATCCTGTAGATGATGTCATTTATGCGATCCATGACTTCGTATGGTCCTTCCCAAGAAGTCTGCAGCTTCGGTGAATAACCACGACGGCGCTGAGGGTTGTATAACCAAACTAGGTCTCCAGGTTGAAATCCTCCATTTTCCGCCTTGATGTCGTATGCCTCTTTCATTCTATCACTGGCACTCTGGATGTTTAAACGAACTCGGCTGTGAATGTCGCTCATTTTCCTACGTAAATTGTTGACGTAATCTTCTCCAGCAATATCATCCCCTGGTAGGCAACCAAACCTCAGGTCACAAGGTAGACGAAGTTCACGTCCCATAACAATGCTAGCGGGTGTCTGGCCGGTTGTATCGTGGATAGAAGAACGGTACGCCAACAGGAACAGATGAAGAAAGCGGTCCCAGTCTCTTTGGTGATCAGAGACTACCTTGGACAGGTACCGGTTTATCGTTCGATTCATTCGTTCTACCATTCCATCGGACTGCGGATGTAATGCAGTCGTCCTCGTCTTCCGAATGTTAAGAATCTTACAGACATTCTGGAACAATATAGATTCAAAGTTCCTGCCTTGGTCTGAATGCATCTCCATTGGCACACCAAAACGACAAATCCACTCCTTAATAAGGGCATCGGCCACTGTGGCAGCTTCCTGGTTTGGCAAGGCGTACGCTTCCGCCCACTTGCTGAAGTAGTCCATTACAACGATGATGTATTTATTTCCAGATTCTGTTTCCGGAAATGGACCCGCCACGTCGATTGCAATTCTCTCAAATGGGCTGCCCACATTGTACTGTCGCATTGGGGCTTTTGGGCGCTTCTGGGGTCCATTGCTTGCCGCGCAAACGGCGCACTTCTTGCACCATTCCTTCACATCTCGTTGGCTGTTGACCCAATAAAACCGTTCCCTAAGTCTTCCGAGCGTCCTGGTCACTCCAAGATGTCCTCCAGTAGTTCCATCATGGATTTCCTGCAGCACTTCTGGTATCCTGTTTCTGGGGATTATTATCTGCTTCCGGTCTTCTCCCCCTTCTGGCATCTCCAGAATGCGCTTTAGAAGCCCATCACTTAAGATGATGGAATTCCATTGGGCCCAGTAGGATTTCACATTCGGCGAATATTGGGCGACTTCCTGCCACGTTGGTTTATAGTCGTTCTTTTTCCAATCGATGATGAGCTTCAAATCCGGGTCCCTTTCCTGGTCTTGTTGAACCTCAGCGGATTGCCAATGATCATCTACGATTGTAGTCCTGCGAATATACACATCCTTTTCTTCGGCCCTATTTATTTTTCTAAATGAAGTCGGCGCCACCTGACTTCCTCTGCAACGACTTTGTATATGTCCCAGCTTTCCACATCTCCAACACCGGATTTCCTTCTTCTCTGGTAAATTCTCCTTAAGAACTCGCCTAATTGCTTCAATTATCCTGGGTTCTTCCTTCTTTTCTTCTTCGACTCTCCTAATTCTAGGCTGGCTCCTGCAGCTCTGCTTTGCCGCCTCGAATTCCAAAGCTCGAGCCAATGCATCAACCAGTTGGCTCGGACGAGCCAATGTCAGAGCCTGTCGTGTTTCATTGTCCCGAAGTCCATCCAAAAAGGCTTGAACCGCTAATCGTTCCATAACGGTCGTTGGAGTAGCTGGATATGCTAGCCGAACCAAGCGCGCAATATCCGCCTCGAATTCTTGTAAAGTCTCATTTGATTTCTGGCAGCGATTCTTCAGTTGGGAATGGTACACATGTTCCAGATGTGTCTGGCCATATCGCAATTCCAGATGTTTAACCAACGCTTCGTAATCTTCTTGTTCGTTGAGAGAAAGCGTCTGCAAAATGTCCGTTGCATCTCCGCGTAAAGCCAGAGTCAATGCTGTAGCCTTCTCTTCTGGTAGCCAGCCATTTGCTTTTGCTGCGGTCTCAAACTGACGGATGTAATTGGTCCAAGAAGTTTTTCCATCGAACTGAGGTGGTTTCATCCGTACTCGACTTCCCTCTGGCATTGTTCCTGGTTCCGCCAGCATCATAGGTAGATTTACAGCTGTCAGTTTACTATTTATTTCTTTAATTTTGACTTCCAATTTATCATCCAATTCCATCCTTACTTCATTCAATTCCATCCTTACGTTATTTAATTCCATCCTTACATCGTCAACTTTCTGTCCTACTTTCTCTTCTAATTCATTGACATTATCTAGAATCTTCCCTTCCAAATATTCTTTTAGGTTTTTAGAATTTTCTAGAATTTTCTGCTGCAGTTCGCTAGAATTTTCCAGCATTTTCTGTTGCAAATCGTCCTTTAAATCGTTGACATTTTCTAACATTTTCTGTTGTAAGTCGCTAGAATTTTCTACCATTTTCTGTTTTAAATCGTTAGAATTCTCCAACATTTTTTCGTTTAAATTTTGCAACATTAACTGCATATCACACGGGCCTTCAAATAAATACGTATCTGGATTTTCACCTTCCTGCTCCAACGCTTCTCGAAGCCGCTGCTGCAACACATTCTTTTTTCCAGTTGTTTCACATTCCCTTTCTTCCAGCTCCCGCTTAAGGTCCGCCACTTTTAAGTCCATTAACGAAACCATTTTCGCGAAGTTTCACACTAATCCCACTTCTGACACCAATTGTAACGTTTTTAACTGTTCGTAGTGTGAATTAAAACACGCACTGGTTAATTAACGAACTAAACTATTTATTTAATAACTTAACTACACTTAAAACACTATAAAACTAACTAAACACTTAACTACTAATTATTTATATCACTACAAGTTTATTTATTTGCACTTATATTTATTTATTTCTTCGCGCGTACCAAAGCTCAACTAACTGCCGTGTGCTGCTCCGTTTCTTATATATTCAGCGCCAAGGTCTTCTGGAACATTCCAGCGAGCTCCACACTCTCGATTGTTCGAGCGCTGAGTCACCGGCGATGACTCATCGGCGATGACTAACCAGCGATGAGTCATCACTCCGATATCCAGAGCGGTACTCGCTACAATAAGAAACGGAGCAACACAGAGCAGTTAGTTAAGATTTGGTACTCGCGGCGAAATAAATAAATATAAGTGCAAATAAATAGACTCTTGAACAATAGTGATATATAAATAATTAGTAGTTAAGTGTTTAGTTAGTTTTATAGTGTTTTAAGTGTAGTTAAGTTATTAAATAAATAGTTTAGTTCGTTAATTAACCAGTGCGTGTTTTAATTCACACTACGAACAGTAAAAACGTTACAATATAGTCCCTGTAAATATAGTATCTATTACATACAATAAATACACATTTTAGTAATGATTAACGTGAAAAGTGTAAACATTTCAATTCAGTAAAAATCGTCAAACAAATAAGTCGTCTAAATTTAAACAGCATTTAGCATTATTAAAAGCGTTAATTAAGTCTCCACTGGTAAAATACCATTATATTATGTTGTCATGAATTCGTAGGTATATTTTGTTGTTTAAAATGCAGTTGCCGGCGTTTTTTAGAGAACTCAAATATAAAAATGGTTATGTTTGTGCAAAAATTATTTTTTACTAATTTCTTAAAAATGTCCAAACTTAAATATAAATTATATTAGGTAAAGTTATCATTAGTTATTTCTGCACCAACAAATGTACTTACCTGAATATGGCAAAACATGCAACGATTTAGTTGTTGAATTTTATTTACAATTAAAAACACAATAATTCACCATGATCCCTTGGATAAAATACCCACACTAACGTAACTATATAAGCATTTAAGCGTTGAGTTTCTTAATCAATGATATAAAGAATAATCAATCGAGTACTAAACCAGTTTTTTCCTTGCAACGTAAAACACAAATAACGTGCGCGATTTAATTGTGCAATTGAACAAAATTTGTCGAGTAAGACTTCTGCCTTCCTTTCTTTTGTGAAAAACTACCTATTTATTTAAAAATTATGTACAGGTCGTCCACCAGATGGCGTATAAGGTAGTAAAGAAAAAATCACTTTAAATATTAATAGATTTATTAACATCTCTATCATATAATTCTAAAATGTAAATTGTAGATGGGGGAAATTGATTAAACAGCTGTGGAAATAATTTCGGTGTATTTCTTGATTTTGCTGGCGACACTCATATCAACGTATCTGTCACCAATGCTGACAATCATGCCACCAATAATTGCTGGGTCAACTTTGGTGGTAAGATTTATCGACTCATTGGCCTTCAAGAAGGATTTTAAGGTGGACTGCAACTTGTTTTTCTGGTCGCTGTCCAACTCTCTGGCTGTGGTAACTTCACAGGTCACCTAGGTTTTAAAAAATGAAGTACCATTAAATTGGGTAAATACAGTTATGTTATGTAATTAATGTAATACGAGGGTGGTTCAAATATAAACCGGAATTTTGCTATAACATTTTTTATTATTAAGTTACAGAGCTGAAATTTTTTACAATTTTTCTAGATTGTCTCCGTCACACTCTACACACTTTTGCCACCTCTCCGGAAGCTTTCGGATGCCTTGTTCGTAAAAATCTCTCGGCTTGTCACGTAACCATTCGCGCACGAAGTATTCTACCTCCGCATTGCTTTCGAATCGCAGTCCGCCAAGTGCCTCTTTCAATGGACCGAACAAATACTAGTCGCATGGCGACAAATCGGGACTATAAGAAGGGTGTTCCAGTGTTTCCCAACCCAATTCGTTCAATGTTCTCATCAAACTTCCTAGCGTGTGAATTTCTGATCAAAATTCAGAAGTCTTGGCACCCATCTGGCTGAAATTTTGCGGTAACCGAGCCGTTTATGAATTATTTGCTCAATACTACCTACGCTGATGCCCAATTCTTCAGGCATATTGCGTACAGTACTGCGCCGGTCTTCCAAAATGAGTTTTTCTACAGCGCTGACGTTCTCATCTGTAACACTTGTTTGGGGCGCCGCGCATATGGCAAGTTTGCCACCACTTCTCGGCCTTTTCGCAAAGCGGAACACAATTCATACACTTGAGTCTTGGAGAGGCACTCATCCCCGAACTGCTCGAGTAATTTTTGATAAATTTCCGCGGATTTTACATTATCTTTGACCAAAATACGAATAATGATGCGTTGCGCAACAGACACTGGTACATCCTTCTCGCTCATGGCTATAACTACACTGAAAAGCGAGGTTACGCAGTCCCGGCTGTTCTCTACGCTTCGTAACAGACCAGTCTAACATCCAGTGCAGCCACTTTTACTTTTACTAAATTTTTAGCGCGTTTATTAAAAAATTCCGGTTTATATTTGAACCACCCTCGTATATTAAAATGGGTAGTTTTTTTCTAAATTCTATAAATAATTTATAATAACCTTTATCCTACCAAAAAGTACGCCACTGATCGACTAGGAACTTTAGGCTAATCTGGTTGCCTAATTTAATTTATTATGTTATGGTTGGTAACAACCAGTGTTTCCAGATTCTGTCAAAAAAGTTGCCAAATTTTGTTTAAACTTTGCTTAATTACAAAAGTGACAAAATCAACAATGCAAATTGTTAATTTGGCGTTTTTATTAATTGTTGATTATGTCATTTTTGTAATGAAGGTCAGGGCTCCCAGCAGTCTATATTGCGAGAAATAGTGACTTAAGAGACTAATAATAAAAAATAAACGACCAAATATGGACCAAATTAATTACCGAAATAACTATAAAATGGAGGTATACATTTTTTTGGGATAAAAGATCTAAATTTGAATTTAAAATACATAGAGATAACTTAATTATAAATTTTTATTGAATTAACAAGTAACCATAACTGTTATAAAATACATAAATAACAAAAAAAATATTAAATTCTGTAATAAATTATAACTTATAATAAATTAAATCACATTTATATAAAAAATTGCTTTAGGGGGGACCTAGCGAACCGAAACTTTAAACGTAAACGAAACCCTAGACCCAACCAGAAACAATTCAGCAATAATTTTGGCGGGCGGGTCGGGTCTGGACGGCGGGAACTTTAAATGTAAACTGCAAAGTTTTCGAATGTTTCACTTGGTTTACTGTGGTTTCGATATTTATAAAACTGTGAATATGTATATTTAAAAATATGTTTCTTTGATAGTTGATTTTAACCGAAAATATAGACTTTAGGAAAAAAAATAGACTTTTATAGACTTACGACAAAAATATAGACGTCTTTATAAAATCTACCTGTTGGGAGCCCTGATGAAGGTAAATTCAAACAAAATCTGGCAACTCTTATGACAGAATCTGGTGCATTTCTTTCAAATTTTAGGTTATGTGCCCAAATTGTAAATATCTTAAATAAGGGATTTATTTACACAAATTGAATGTTTAAAGTTTAACCTGTGAACTTGTCCTAATTTCATCTTAGTAAACAGAAATAAAAAAAACCGATGAAAAAATGAATTTTGTGGTTATGGAGTTTTTAAAGTAGGTACTAAATTTTCTAATCATTGCTTAAGCTAATAGCTGGATGAGTAAATAAATACAGAAGGGGATTAGAGCTTAAGGGCCATAAATCTGTATTTATTGAGTTTTTATTTATTTTTTGCAAGAGAAGTTTTTAGTAACAAATTTTTACAACTGGCAACGCGCTGCTACTTTGTTGGTTAGTATCTATGTACTCACAGAACATAAGTGTGTAACCAGTGTAGAGATGTAAAAAACGGTTTTTTTTTCAGATGTAAAAAAAACATGAAAAAAAAAACTAGAAAAAACAGTTTTTTGTTTTTTTTTCAAATCTGCTGCAATAAAGCATATTGTCAATAAATAACATCAATCTTAAAAAATGGAGTAATTTTTCAATATGAAATTTTGAGTAAAATGTATATTAATAATAAAGTGAAATTTGGAATATATTACATTTTTCATTATTGAAAATTTTAACTCGGACTAAAAAATCTGATTTCTTATTATTTAGTAGTTTCCTCATAAGAAACCAAACTTCCACACTAATAGAAAAAATTAAAGGATAAAAATTTTTGCGATTTTTCGGATAGCTGTATCTTCGTTAAAAATGGTCGTATTGGAGCCGTAAAAAGTTTCTAGTTTTGAGATTTTTAGATGAAAACGTGCAACGCTCAATCCTAACGAATACCGTAATAAAAAAATTCGAAATTTGTTTGGAATTCTTTTTTGGTCCACAAAGAATTTGCTATTGTTTTTTTGAAAAAAAAAATCCACACTAAACATGAATTTGAAAAATCATGAAAAAAGTGCTTTTGGTAGCTTTTTGAAAAATCAAGCGCTGAATCAAAAATATTATAGGTAGTTACTTTTTTTTTGGACCAAATCAAAACAAGCGCGGCCCTTATTGGTCAATTCGGTGGTGGTGGCGCGTGCAAAGCGCGAGACTGTATTTACATTTAGGTACTAATTGTCATTTAGTGGCTAATTTTAGTCCACAAACTGGACTGGAAACATGAAAAATTAGGCAAATGGGACTAATCTTGAAAAAAACCCTAAAATATGAAAAAAACAATGAAAAAAACAAAAAAAACGGACCGTTTTTTTTCAAGTCGCATCTCTAAACCAGTGGCGTATCATAGAAAATATAAAAATCTTCTAATGCATATTTTTTCTTTTTGTATTTTAATATATTACATTAATTACATAACACCCTGTAGAATGTTTTAAAAAATCATTGTTAAAAAACATAAATATAAGACTTAATTTAAAATATAAACTCATTATTGAATCATTCAATTTAAATTTTAAAGTAAATTTAACGTTTTTTTAGGAAGCGATAATAGTTTAACAATATAAATATTATCAACATTTTATATATAAGATAAGTTGGTTTTTAACAATATTATTAAGATATTTGCAAAAAAACAAATATATGATTTTGTAACCCTAATTTTTTTTTGTTTAAAACTATATTAATAAAGTTACCTCTCCACGGTGGGCAGCCATGATAATCTTGAAGGAGTTGATGACACCGTCCAACTTCTTTAGCCTGCCGTTTTCAGCCAAAAGTTGCAACAAATTGGCCGATTCAGGTTTAAGAGAAATTTTACTGGCGACAGCCTTAAGAGCGTCGGATTTAACTGAACGCTTGATTACGGGGTTAATAATGAATTCGCGGAGCTTGGGATCGGATTTCATGGAGGCTTGGAACTTAATTAGGTCCTTTTCGACGGCTTCCAGGGATTTTTGTTTGCTGGCTGCCGAGTACAAAGCGGTGGCGTAACGGCCTTCAATACCGAATATTTGGATTGGGGGTTTCACCATTTGCTGGGCGATTTGGCTGGTGCTAAATGAGCGGACCTTAAAAAAAATTATATAACCTCAAAACGTATTATGTAATCTGGATATAAAAAATAATGAGTGTTATACTTTATGGAGGTTATAGGGGTGAAGATTGGTGATAACTTACCATCACTGATAGTTTTTGCGATGCCATTTTGCTTTAATTAATTAAAGAACTCGACTTTTCGAAATTGATCAACCCAAAGAAATGTCACCCAGTCGAAAAGTTTCTCAAGTTGGCAATGCACCTGATAAATCAAAAAATAATATTTTACGGTCAATTTAATTCTAAAAATTAGTTTTATTATTTCACTACTATAGTATTAAATTAAACAACTGTATTGTGCATAAATAAACTTTTATTTAATGAGTTAACAAAATTATGCAAGTTTAGTTTTGTTATGTTGGTAATAAATAAGTTTAGAAGATGTCGCCACAATATTGAGCATTTTAAAAACATTGTCAAAGTGACAGGCTGTAACACAATTCGCATATCCCATCAAATTCCTGTTGTAGACCACTTTCCTTAACGAATGTAGATGAATTCGATGAAATGTTGTGTAAAAGTGCAAGGGGTTGTTTGAATTTGAATTTGGCGCCCGTTGACGTCATTAAGCACCGCCCCACAGATTCTGATGGGCAATTTTTTTTTAACGACAAAAATTAAAAATGGGTGTAGATTTTTTTGATAATCATCAAAGTAAACATTTATGATATTATCGAGGACATGTAAAAACATATCAGGATATTTTTCCGCGTTTAATTTCTAGTAGCAACAAATTATAACCTAAAATGCTGAAGGTAGGTTTTGTTTATTTATATATTTATTGTTTTTATATATTATTTTGTAATTTTACTTTTACACTGGTAGAATATGTTTTTTATATGCTGTAAACTGTGTGATATAATAAATATTATTATTAATAATATTGTTGTTTATGTGGTATTTTAGGAAAAAGGGCAGTTGAAATTCGAGGATAAATGGCCCCATATGCAGCTGATTGTTTTGAAACTCTTAAAACAAGAGCCAGTTTCTCCAGCCGAATGGCAAGAGTTATTTTATGATGTTCATTTGGTTTGTTTGTGGGACGAAAAAGGGCCTGTAAAATTAAGAGACCACTTACACGACGACATAGTAGAGTTTATAAAGCAAGCCCAGGCGAGGGTTTTAGCCCAGAGGCAGGAAGAAGCCCTATTAAAGGCTTACATAGCCGAATGGCGAAAGTTCTTTACCCAGTGCAACTACCTACCAACCCCGTTCAAACAACTTGAAACATCTTTGCAAGGGAAACCAAGCTCTGGCAATGCCAGCGTGCAGAGTTCAAGCAGTAAAAAAGGCCCTGCAGATGAAAGTATAGTGAGAAAACTGATGTTGGACTCGTGGAACGAAAGTATTTTCAGTGATATTAAACACCGGCTGCAGGACAGTGCTATGGAATTGGTGCATGCCGAAAGGAAAGGGGAAGCCTTCGATGCCCAGTTAGTAATAGGTGTTAGAGAATCGTACGTGAACTTGTGCTCCAACACGGAAGACAGACTGCAGATATACAGGGAAAACTTTGAGGCTGCTTACATAGAGAGCACTGATATGTTTTATAGGTTAAAAGCGCCTGAACATTTGGCTATTAACGGGGTGCAAGCGTACATGAGGTATGCTGACAGTAAATTGAGGGAGGAGGAGGTGAGGGCTCAGAGATATTTGGAGGCAGGGAGTAACGGGGTTATACAGTGCTGTGTTAAAGTGTTGGTGGAAAATGCGTTGTCAGTGCTGTTGGCTGAGTGTGCCCCTCTGATTAAGGCAGGAGAAACGGAGAGATTGCAGTTAATGTTCAGGTAAGTGTGTTTTTAGACATAATTTTATAAAACATCCTAAAATTGCCTGTAAACTATCTAAATTGTGTCATATCTCTAAGAACTACCATAAAACTTCCTTAAATATCTAAATTGTCCTTTAATTAAATGTTTTAATTTTTTTATTTGTTTATTAAACCCAAAAAAAATACATGTTTATAACACAACATAAATAATAATATAAAGTCAAGATTTCAATATAATAACATTATTACTAATATCACATAAATTGGCTTTTAAAATATGTAAACATATACTTACAGGGTGTTTCATTTAAAAAATGTTTTTGGTTCAGTTGTTTTTCTGTTTTCACCATTTAAATAAGAAAAATGTCACCTATTTGCTAATTTAAAAAGAAAAATTTCAATTAATGCAGAGTCTTGATTTAGGTAATATTTTTTTCTAATTTAATATAATTCACCAAATACAAACTCAAAAATTTTAAATATTTTTTTATTTTATTAAAATATACAGTTTAAAATACGTTATATAAAAAATCTAGGTATTTGAACATTCTTTTTTGGAATGATTTCGTCTTAAATATTTGCCTTTTTAACCACTTATTACAAAATATACCTTGACACGTTTTTTTTCTTTAAATTTTGTTTATTTAGGTTTGTTAGGGGCCGTTCATTAATTACGTGAGACAATTTTGGCGATTTTTCGACCCCCCCCCCCTCCCCTTGGTGAGATGTCGTGAGATTTTGCTCGACCCCCTCTCCCCCCCTTAATCTCACGTGAGATTTTTTAAAATGCATGGTTTTAATGTAAATAAGTTAATCTGTGCTTGATTCCATTAGATTTATTAAAAAAAACCAATTTGCTTATAATTGTTTACTTAATTTAACCCAGTTTTCTCGCAATTTTACACTCTTTCTTTCGGAAAAAAAAAATTACGTGATATTTGCCGAGAGCCCCCCTCCCCCCCACGTGAGATTTGGTGAGGTTTGGCTCAACCCCCCTCCCCCCCCTAAACACCTCACGTAATTAATGAACGGCCCCTTATTTAACTTCCAAAAGTGGGCAGTTAAATTTTTTTAAATAAGCCCTTAAAAATAAAAAAAAATGTTCCCCTGGGTCACAAATTTACTATAATATGTAATAATATATAGTATATACTATATATTATTACATATTATAGTAAATTTGTGACCCAGGGGACCATTTTTTTTTATTTTTTAAGGGCTTATTTAAAAAAATATATATAACAATATACTCGAATATACCTATTAAAAAAAACCGAGGGGGTAACAACTGAACCAAAATTTGTACATGTATTGCGCATTACGTGCCTTTTTTATAGTAATACCAGTAATACCAGTGTAATGTCAGTAATTCCAGTGTACTGCCAGTAATTCCAGTGTAATACCAGTAATTCCAGTGTAATGCCAGTAATTCCAGTGTAATGCTAGTAATTCCATATTTACTCATACATACATTTTTGTTGGAAGAAAATAATATAAAAATAAAAGAAATCTTGACCATTCTTAACAAAATAAAAAAATACATAAATGTTATATTATGATAACATATTGTGGCAACATTCATGAAGGGAACGCATTATCTTCACAGAATATTTTATATGAAACAAAATATAATATACAGTTTGGACATATTTATTATTTTCTCTTATCACATATATACAACATACACATATATAGGTACCTACAACTAAAATATATTCTTAAACTATTTGTTCATGCGAATAAACATTTTAGTCGATCATTTTTTCAGTTAAATATATTTTTCTTAACATCTCTTTAAAGTTTAATAATTGTTAATTTATCGTGTCTTGATAGTTGAAATGGTCCTGTTCCGATAATTTTTATTGGTCCAGTCGTTTTTTTTTAATAAATTCCGTATAAAAGTACTTTCTCGTCTGCTTCTAAGAGTTCAAAGAGGTAATTTCTTGCAAATTAATTAATATTTTCAATATGAATATCGGTGATTTTTGATATCTAATATAGGTTGTCATAACCAATGGAAATCATAAGGTTTTTTTACATGTAAACTGGTAACTGAAAACCATGTAGTTGAACTTTACTAAAACAGGCATTAACTGGACAAATTGATTCTTTTTCGGATAATATTAATTTTTTTTCTGATGAAGACAAAAGATCAAATAAACTATAAAACAAGGGACAGAAATAGCTGGGTCAGTCCATATCAAATTACCCGAAGGCTTTTTTCTCACTATCTCCGATTTTGATTATTTGTTTTAATCAACTCAAAGATCCATTTTTTTGTAATAACAAGTTTGTTAAAAATCAGAAAATTGCAATATGTCAAATACTATTTAAAGTAAAAGGTGGGTCCTGTTTTAAAGGTCTTTCAGGGGCCTTTTTATGATATATCACATAGACTAATTTTTTCATCATTTTGAGAAAAAAAATTATATGTCAAAAATGCCTTTTTTATTTTTTAAGTAAATAGGTAATTTTTCATTGGAATTTTTCCTGACTTTAACATTAAATTTAATTATAGAAATTTTTGTAATTTTTGCAAAATTTAATAGAATTTAGTTGTCCTTGTTTGAGTTCTTGCTAATTTTAATATTTTTCAGCTATTTCAGTTCATATTAAATCAACCGAAACTCGAAATCAATCAAAAAATGGATACTTTTTTGTATACATTGTGGTTTTACTGCAATTTAATACGTTTTTTCTACGACCACTATGTAAAAGTCACTTTTCATGATGGCATCGTTGCTTAGAAAATGAATCTTTTCATTTCACGAATGTAAAGTGACATTTCTGTGTGAAAAGTGACAGGTCTGTGTGAAAAGAACCGGAAAGCATCGTTTGACATTCAGCTGTCAAAAAAGTTTTTAGGTTATTTAGTTTTGTATTTAAAAATAATAAAAAATAAAAGGGTCGCAGAAAAAACATTGTGTTATACTTGTGAGAAAAGCTTTCTTCAAGCTCGTGTTAATGCACACTCGGCCTAACGGCCTCGTGGGCAACTTAAAAACTCGCATGAAAAAGTCGCTTTTTAACACTTGTAAAACAAATAACTATTGTTTTAATTTTTTAAAGATTTTGTCAAAATGACAAACGTCATGAAATCTTATAATCTAAAATTATTTAAAGCAGAAATGCCAATTTTCGATTTAAAATACAAAAATCTTAGACCCGAATGGATATTTAGCTTTTAATACGGCCTTGTTTTCGTCAATCACGTGAACAGCGTCTACATTAAGTTCTCGTTAAATAAAAAAACACTTCATCCTGGGTAGAAACGCTTCTTAAAAAATTTCAGGAAATTATTGAGAAAAAAATGCTTCAAAAGACAAAGTTTGTGTTTTAAGGAGAACTGTGGTTCTTGGGGTAATTCCCTTTCTTAGCAAATGTTCTAAATGATGAGCAAAAACTAAATATCTTAGTAAAATTAAAAATACCTATAAATGGTTTTATTTCACTTACCTTAAGCTTAAATTTAAATAGCTAACTAACTAAAAAAATATATTTCCGTTGGAAAAAAAATTCTAAGTAAATTAGAGGCTTCACTCTTTCAAAAATTCGATTTCCCATATAAATTACACGGGAAAAAGTTTTTTTCGACTTCAACTCAATTTTTGGCGTTTCAAAATTTTTTTGGAAAAAACAAGTAGGTATGCAGCTTTTGTAGGGAATCAAATTTGCTACAAAAAAGTTCCCTTGAGATTTTCTCTAAAAATTTCGAACGAGTCTACAAGGAAACCAACGATTTCAAGATTCAAGATTCAAGATTTATTCGTTATACAATATACAATAAAGTTTAAACACGTCAGAATAAATAAACATACAAATTAAAATAAATATACAAGATATTACAACAAACAGTTTTCAATAAAATTGTAGCACAGAAACTCATCCATAGAATAGAAAGCTTCTTGCAGTAAAAGTCCTTTAATAGTATTTTTGAAGTGATTCAAAGGTAGGATTTTGACTTCATTTGGTAGTTTGTTAAACAGCTTAATACCAGTAAATTCATAACTCTTTTGTGACCTTGTTAGTCTCACAGGGACTGGAACTATATTATTGCCTTTCCTTGTTTGATACCCGTGATTATCAGTATGTTTACGAAAATTGTTTTCGTTTTCTTTAACATAAAGAAGACATTCAAGAATATAAGCGCAAGGAAACGTAAGAATCCTGTGTCTGACAAAGCTTTTTTTGCAATTTGCTCTATAACTGAGATTATCAATTATTCTCAATGCACGTCTTTGCAGACCAAAAATTCTATTCCACATTGCACCCTGACCCCACGCCAATAGACAGTATGAAATTTTGGAGTGAAATAGGGCGTGATATAATATAACCAGTGTAGACTGAGACACATCATTACTGAGAATACGCAAGCCAAATATAGATTTACGTAAGGCAGAGGCCAGTGAATCAATATGGTTGTCCCAACACAACTTAGGGTCGAGAGTAACTCCCAAGAACTTAATTGACTCAATCTCGTTCACACCTTGTGTGTTTTTAAGACTAAATACCAAATTTTGTGTTTTCTGCGTATTCAGGCACAATTGGTTCTCTATGAACCATTGCTCAGCACCCGACCGTGCAGACTCACTTTCAGATAGAACCGACTGAAGAGTTTTACCCGAGCTCAAGATGGAAGTGTCATCGGCAAAGAATATAAACTCGGCATCCTCTACAGAAGTTACCAGGTCATTGATATATATCAAAAAAAGGAGGGGACCTAAAATAGACCCCTGAGGGACACCTGCCCTTACACTCCTCGCCGACGAACATCCAGTTGAAGTTTTCACTACTTGCGTGCGACCACTTAAGTATGAAGTTATAAAATTAATACTTTTTTCATCAAAGTTGTAGCGTTTTAACTTTTCAATCAGTTTCTTGTGGTCTACACAATCGAAGGCCTTACTAAGGTCACAGAAAACCACAGCCAAAAATTCGCCTTTTTCAAAGCAATCCAGGCATCTTTGAATAAAATGCTGAATTGCCCTGGAAGTACTCCTTCTTTTCCTGAACCCAAACTGATTGTTTGTGAAGAGATTATTTACTTCAAAAAACTCACTAATCCTGTTAGTTGCCACTTTTTCAAAGACTTTCGAAATAATGGGAAGCAGCGATATAGGTCTGTAGTTCGCAATATCATCCCTGTCGCCCTTTCAGGTTTGATGGTAATCATTACAGGGTTGTAGATGACTGGTACAGACTGATTTTTAATGATAACGATTTCGGATGAGGATACATTTATTTATAGAGGACAATTACTACGAAATTCTAGAATCGGGGAAAAATTCTGCACCGGGACATGATAATATTACCAGAAACATACTCAGAAAGCTAGACTTCCGGATTCACGAATATATAATAAAAATCTACAAATATTGCATCAAACATCAGCACATTCCTAATGAATGGAAAAAAGGTATAATAATTACACTGCCAAAACCCAATTCCGATCACACCCTAACCTCCAATTATAGACCAATTGCGCTACTTCCAGTAATTGGAAAAAACTGGAGAAAGTTATGAAAAAATTATTAGAGCATAAACTGCTAGAAAAAATTCCTGGACATCAATTTGGATTTAAACCTCATATGTCAACCATCCATCCGCTTACAATTCTAGTAAACAATGTGGAAACATCCAAATTAAACAAATTTAAATCTGCTGCTGTTTTTTTGGATATAAGCAAGGCCTTTGATAGTGTATGGATTAAAGGATTGTTGTATAAACTACATCTAATGGACTGCCCCATTCACCTCATTAATATAGTACGCCTACTTCTAGAACAGCGAGAATTAAGGGTTAAAATTGGCAATGACTTCTCCAATTCATTTGTTACTCAACAAGGGCTACCCCAAGGATCTCCACTTTCACCTTTTTTATATAATGTTTATTGCGCTGACATTTACCATCACCGATTTGAAGACATACATTACTTCTCTCATACGTCCTACATGCTGCAATTTGCCGACGACACCGCTCTAATAACACACGGCCAAACCTTGGAGATAGTTATACAAAAATTTCAAGAATTGACAAACATAACTATGAAATGGTTTAATAAATGGAGGCTTAAAATCAATGCAAATAAAACGCAAATGATCATTTTCAACCATAACATTTCCCATAACTCACCAACAATTTCATTAAATAATCATATACTCCAAGCATCACCAGCAGTTAAATATTTAGGAATAACGCTTGATCCAAAATTAAACTTTAACAGCCATACTAAACTTTTAAAAAAGAAAATAATCACAAGGTCCAAACATTTTAGAAGTTTAACCTACAAAAACTCAGGCATTAGTATGGATACAAGCACAAAAATATACAAAATGATCTGCAGGCCCATCATTGAGTACGGATTTATCCTATTTCTAAATTGCAAAAGACCAGCTATGCAGAACCTAAAGACATCAGAAACAACTTCCCTACGTACAATCACAAAAATCCGCCACCCTAACAATCCTTTATTTAACCCCTCAAATATCCTACTCTATACAACAACAAAAATTCAACCAATAGAAGAGAGAATTAACATGTTGGCAGAAAAGTTCAGCAAAAAAGACATTAATTTCGAAATACTTAATAATTACTGCATAGAACGAGAAAATCGCGAATCTACACACAAACATCCAGTAGAAACCACCATGGAGAAATTAATAAAATTCCATAATGCTCCATAACACTAGATGTATTTTTTGTTTGATAAATAAGTACCTTGATTTTATAAATGTTATGATTATACTGTTAAATGTTATATATATACTTATATCAAAATTTATTGTAAACTCATCGGCTGAAGGACTACGATCAATAGCCTTTGAACTTGGTTTTAGTTCAATAAAGCATTATTATTATTAAGTTCCCTTGAGCAAACGCTTTCCGACCAACAGTTTTTGAGTTGTAGAGCTGGAAAGGTAAATGTTAATGTTAATTAACAACAAATTTCCTTTAAATTAAAATTTATTGATAGTTAAAAATTATGAATTCTAATTCTATTTTATGCCACGGAGGCGATGCAGAATACCAACTCTTTTATCACGTATAATCGAGGCTACCATGTGGTCATCCAATCTTGTTTTATAATTATTTTTATTTATTCTTGGCCATTTCTGTTGAAACTTGAATATTGGTACATTTGGGCCTGAAGTTGTTGGCCAGTATATTTGGAAAACACAACGTAAAACCAGCTTACAAATATGAGGCCGGCAGGCAAAATTCAACAAACTTTTTCCAATTTTGTTCTTTAAAAGTTTGCGTACGTTTTAAGTACCTATCAATAAATTTCAATTTAAAGGAAATCTGTTAGCTCTACAACTCAAAAACTGTTGGTCGGAAAGCGTTTGCTCAAGGGAACTTTTTTGTAGCAAATTTGATTCCCTACAAAAGGTGCATACTCATTTTTGTCAAAAAAAATTTGAAACGCCAAAAAATCAGGGCTCCCACACCTCCTAAAACTCATAAAATTCCTAAAACTTTAATTATATCTTGAAAACTCCTAAAATTCTCCTAAAATTGCATTTAATCTCCTAAAACTCCTAAAAATTCAATTTAAATAGGCCAACCTGACTTAAGGTAGTGCTAAAAAAAATATTTTTTAAAAAGTAATTTACAAATATATATTTTTAGGTTCTATTTTATTAAATTCTTTTTATAATGATATAATATCACAACCAAATTTTTTCTTAAAAAACAACAAAAAAACTTCTACAAAATTGTTATTTTTAGCGATTTTTCGTTTTTTTAGTCAAAAATATACCGTGTTATATATCAAACAAAAGGATTTTTAATTTTCTTTTAAATGACAGCTTCCACATTACAATTGAATCGGTGAGAATAAGAACAGTATAACAGAATGTAAGTCCAAAAATTTAATTTTGACAATTTATTCTAAAATCTATTTTAAAGTTTAAAATACATTTTTGTGAGAAGATATAAATTATTTTTTCTACTCCCACCTTTAAAACGCCCTTTATCGTACATGTTTCCATGACACTAAGTGACCTTTTAAATACACATTGACAAGTTGTGGCTTTACGCACGGGCTGAAGTTAGCAACAGGTTTTTAGTCACGGGCTGAAGTTAGTTTTAAGTTAGTTGACAGTTGTCAAATGTCATACAATCGTTAAAATAAAATGCCTTTCTTGTAAAATACTACTAAATGTGAAAATTATTTTATTATCTTAATACAAAAGTACAAAAATATTAAATAGTTTCTCAACGCCAATATTTGAAAAGTTTATATGAACATTGTACTGATCTTTTAATTCGGGCACGGACTCTACTGTAAAGTCCTCATAAAACATTTCCTTTACTTTCACTGTGAAAAACTGACAATTTTCAAGATAAATTTCGATTTATAACCTTTATAATTGTGTTTATAAAATGTAAAAATGTGGCATTTGACAGTTTCCCCTGTTGTTTCATAGATGGCGCTCTATACAAATTTTTGATTTAAATCATTTTAATCGTAGAAAAAGTATAGTATGCACCTCGTTTATAAACTTTTCTATACACTCATTAACTTAAGCAGTCGCTCGCAAGCTCGCTCGTGCCTAAATTAAATTCGTGTATAAAATGGCGTTTATCAAACTTGATACATAGCATACTATTACAGAATATGAATATTATATTTCATAAAATAGTTAAAATATTCCTACAAAAATGTATTTAGAACTATAAAACTAATTTTTTGAAATATTATATCAAAAATTTAACTTTTGGACTTGTACTATTCTTAATCTTATTGATTCAATTACTGTTAGCTATTAACTAAACGGTTAACATATTTGTTCTTTAAATATAAATATAACATTATTTGATTTTGGCCTAGTTTTTTAGCCAAATCTATCGACGCATTTTTTTAAATAAAATTAAAAGTGTGGTTGTATATAAATGTACCTCAGATATATACAAAAGTTTTAATTTTACTTCACTTTTAATTTTATTAAAAAAAAACTCGTCGATATAACTTAGTTTTATAACAGCAGTACCTATTTTTTCTTATTTTTTAAGTAGTAAAGAGTTGTTTTTATTTAATTAAAGAAATTTATTTCCATACTTTATTTATCCTAAAATTTTACAAAAAACCTCCTAAATTCCTAAATAAAATTTGTAATTTAGCCGTGGGAGCCCTGAAAAATTGAGTTGAAGCTGAAAAAAACTTTTTCCCGTGTAATTTATATGGGAAATCGAATTTTTGAAAGAGTGAAGCCTCTAATTTACTTAGAATTTTTTTCCAACGGAAATATATTTTTTTATATATAAATTATCAGATTTTTAGGTAGGACAGAAAGAAAAAAAATATCGCCTAAAAATGAAACACCCTAATAAATACATAAGAAATAAATTATTTTAATGCATTGACAAGCATTGTTTATGTTTTATAAGTTTACATTACAATAAACTCAACTTTTCCAACTTTTTCGAACTTTTCCGAAAAACAACTTTTCAAAAATTTCAACTTTTCATGAAAAGTTGCAACCCTAGGTGTGGAGCATAGTACCTACACTTTTTTTAAAAAAGCTTATACCTACCTAATTTAAAAAAAAATATTTTTTTTTGGAACCTTGATGGTAAAGGAAATTACTCTTTCTTTAGGTTGCTCGAACGGGTGCCCGACGGCGTGCTCCCGATGCTCAAGGAGCTCGAGAACCACATAACGCACGCCGGTCTGGCCGACATGGTGGCCGCCGCGGACATAATCACGCAAGACTCGGAGAAGTACGTCGAGCGGCTGCTCGAGCTGTTCCGCCGGTTCAGCGACCTCGTGCACGAGGCGTTCTCGGACGACCCGCGCTTCCTGACGGCGCGCGACAAGGCATTCAAGGTAGGGATGTTAATATCAATAAAAAAAATGTATCGATACTTATCGATAATTTTTTCTGACCTATACTTTTTATGGTTTTATTCAAGGCGTTTTGTAATATTAAACGTTTCTGTGAAATCAGAATTTCAATTGAGTTTACCGTTTTCGAGATATTTACAAAAAATATAAATTTTTATGACGTCACAAACCTCGCTATGTGACCAACATTCTAAGATTTCTATTGGTTGAAAATTACCCTGTTGTCAAGTTGTCTTGTTAATGATTTCATTCGGTTATGTCAGAAAATACCCGAAGAGGTTATGTACAAATACTGTCACTGTCAGTTGAGTGAAAGATGGTCACCAAATTCATTAAGTACCTATCTTTCTTATTACGAGTTATCATATTACTGTTTGATATTTTAGAGTCCAAGATATATCTAAAAGAATATAAAGAACTGGGCATTATACTAATGAAATGCATTTACGACAAAATATGATTATAATTATAGGTACTTAGGTACTTTATTTGTTTAAAAGCTCCAATGTTCAATGTAACCAACCATTCCACAAGATTCCTCTGCTTTGGAGTCCGTTATTAATAAATCACTTATCTAATATCAATTACAAATAACATAACAATAACATTGATTTTCAATAATATAAATTTAAAAAAAACATAACCCGAAAAAAAGAAACGTCAAAAAATCAATTCTTCTTCTTCTTCTCAACTAAAATTATAGATCAAGTGGTTTTAAAACTAAAATATTATAACCTTGCGCCATCTATCGTAAGAATCTTAAACTAAACACACTGGCAACCATAGAAAAAACTGGCAACGTTGTCAATAGCCTAGTGACGTAATTAGGAGATTTTTTTTGTAAATATCTCGAAAACGGTAAACTCAATTGAAATTCCGATTTCACAGAAATGTTTAAAATTACAAAACGCCTTGAATGAAACAATAAAAAGTATAGGTCAGAAAAAATTTAACTACCCCATTATCGATAAGTATCATTAACTTCCCCCACCACAAACTATTTTATGTGATTTTAAGAACTATTTTTAATAATCAAAAATTGTTCTTAAAACCAAATAAGTAATTATTATAATTTTAAACAAATATTAAAAATAAATTTTGGCGTACTTTTTAAACCACTTTATTAAATAATTGAATACGAATTTAAGTACGTTTCACTACATATAGGGACCCTAGGATATTCCATAGACAAGATACCACAACACGTCTAAAGTCTAAAGTTTAAAATCCCTTGGATGTTGAAGAATGTTTTTGCAACCAGTTATACGTCTAGTCGTTTTTTGTCTATGGGATATTCTTACTCTTTTTTAACTATATTACTATACACGGTGCTGTTCTGAGAGGTGATTTTTGGACTTTCTGTGAAACCTAATTTTTTTTTATATTCTTGTTAATTAAAATTTTAAGAGCAAAATAAAAAAAAATTGACGGTTTAAATTGTTTTAATTGGCTGTTTATTAAAAATAATATGCACTCTTTCAATTATCCAATTAAAACTAGCGATTTAATTTAAATATTTAATATTTGCATAACTAAAAAAAGGTTTTTACAATTTTTTTTATATATTTTACTGTTTTGTTGCAATAAACGTTCAAACTTTTAATCTAACCTTTGACGTATACATTTATGTTCTCTTAATTAATATATCCTTAAAGGTTGCCATGAAACTTAGATCTATTAAAAAATTATTTGACGTTTGAATTGTCATTTTCAGTATACGTATTCTATAATTTTTGTTTAGTTTTTTAAAGTGTTTTTTATAAACAAAAATGAAAAATTGTAGTAAAAGTTACGAAGAAATTCATGAAATTTAACTAAGGACAGTTCATCTTTAGTAAAGTTTATCGGGCCGATAACTTTCATGTCTTGGCAATATCTAGTATCCAAAGAAATTATTCGTCAAATAAATCAAAAATGAATAAATCTGCCCTAAATAAAATGTGGCACCCTTAGAATTATTGTTTAATAAATGTATACTATACATTTAACCTTAAATTAAAACTTTAAACGTGTATTACAACAAAACAGTAAAAGAAATAAAAAATGTATAGACCTTTTTTTAGGAAATTAACTAATCTTTAATCTGATTTAAAAAGTTATGATAATATTTAAATAAAATCGCAAGTTTTAATTGGAGAATTGAAAGTGTGCATACATAGTTTTAATAAACATCCAATTAAAACAAAATTAACCGTCAAATTTTTTTTATTTTGCTCTTAAAATTTTAGTTATGACCTAATTAACAAGAATATAAAAAAAATTAGGTTTCACAGAAAGTCCAAAAATCACCTCTCAGAACAGCACCGTGTAATAATCGATAACTATTGATACATTTAACATGACTACTTCAAGGCCGTCGTCAACGACACCACCGTGTTCCGGTTGGAGCTGAGCGCGGGGCGCAGCGCGGCCGCCAAGGCGAACGCGCCCGAGAGCAAGTGCCCCGAGCTTCTGGCCAACTTCTGCGACATGCTGCTGCGCAGGACGCCGCTGTCGAAGCGGCTCACCAGCGAGGAGATCGAGTCGAGGTTGAAGGACGTGCTGCTCGTGCTCAAGTACGTCTCCAACAAGGACGTGTTCATGCGCTACCACAAGGCTCATCTCACCAGGAGGCTCATTCTCGATGCAAGGTAAATATAGTTTATTTATATCTCTAACTAATTGAACATGTTCATTAGACTCGAAAATATATCGAGAATGTTGTTCAGAATGACAAAAAAAAATTTCGTGAAAATTTAAGCTATTTTTAGTCATAATTTGATGTTTTACGTTAGAACTGTCAAAACATTAAAGTGAAAAAAATTCCTTTTCACTTATTTTGATATAAAATTATATTCTCTACAAAAAAGGTCTGATTGAAAATTTTTGTCAGATGAGCCGTTTCCGAGTAATTGAGCTTAATAAATCGATGTGTTTTTTCGATTTGATTCTTCAAAAGTTATTCACGAAGAAAAAATTGAAATTTTAAGTTTTTCTTCGGTTTTAATCGTGAATAACTTTTGAAGAATTAAATTTAGGCAAAAATGTTAAGAGACCTTTTTTGTAGAACATTAAATTTCCTTTAAGAATCCGACGTGAGCTTTTTTTAAATATTCATTGATTCATTAGTTACAAAATTTCAAAGTAAAAAGGGCAAATCGAAAAAACACATCGATTTATTAAGCTCAATTACTCGGAAACGGCTCGTCTGACGAAAATTTTCAATCAGACCTTTTTTGTAGAGAATTTAATTTTATATAAAAATAAGTGAAAAGGAATGTTTTGCACTTCAATGTTTTGACAATTCTAACGTAAAACATCAAATTATGACTAAAAATCAAATTTTCACGAAATTTTTTTTGTCATTCTGAATGACGTTCTCGATATATTTTTCAAAAAAAAAATAGTCAATTTTTTTGGCCCAGTCTAATGTTTATAAACCTGTCTTTTTGAAAATTTAAAAAAAATTGTCTTACCCTTTTCCATATTCACTGTGCAAAATTTTCCCACAATGTTTTTATTTTGAACTACTGAGCGACAAATTTTGTCCTACTTGAGACAAATAAAAAGTGGCGTGTTATATATGGGTGATTCTACAAAAGTTGGACAACTTGATGTCATAAGTCAATAGAGTAGGTTTTTAATATTTTTTGTAAATATTTTAGTATATTACAAAAGATCCAGGTTTTTTTAACTTGTCCACCCAATTTTAATGTATTTTTTCAAAAGCACGTTTGTAGAAAAACATAATAAATATTCAAAAGATCAGTACCTTGGCGTGTCACAACTCCGGAATCAAATATTTGAGTGATTTTATTTTAAAATATATTCAATTTTTCTTAAATTTTTCAATTTCACTACAAACTATAAAACATTAAATAATGTATTTTTCATATTTTATCATAGATTCGAATAATAGCAATTTTAAAAAAAATTATAATCTTTGTACTCACTTTTACCCGTCAGTTCTGTGTCCAATGTTAAAATTCCTCGTTTTAACTCAAGTGTTGGTAAAAAATTACCTACACAGCCCGCCCTTTCCACGACAGTCATCTTGAAAATAATGCAAGCGGCGAAGTTGTGGTGAATGCACGTATAGTTCCAGTCAAAATTTCAGTACTGTGGTGAGTAGTTATTTTCTTACGTATATATATTTCATTGTAATTTATATAAGGCTATATGTGATTTGTTGATAGGTAGCATCCACTAATAAAAAATATCAGTAAAATACTTCATTCCGAATTATAATCTCAAATTTGTATCCCATTCATCATTACCGTGTCGTCAGTTCCATGTTCGATGTTTCGGTTATCTTTTTTTCGCAAACTTCAATTTAAATTCTGCTTGCGCAGAACTTGTTTATTTAATGTCATTATAAACTCATATAAATTTGGTGTGGGTCCCATATCTATTAATTGAGATATATCTGTATACCCAAAATCCACCAGCCGCCACTGATGTGTGGTATTATTTAATTTTAAGATATTTAATGTATAATATGCTCAAAGTTGCAATAAATCTAATATTTTCCAATAAATTATGTATTTAATTAGTACCCCCGGTATACTCGTCACTTCCCTTGCATTCAAATTTAGAAAACACAGATATTTCAGAAACTGTTTGAAAAGAAAAAGAACAGTATATTTATTATATTATCTATGTTCTCATAACAAAATACTGTTTAATTTTCTCCGAAAACTATATAAACAAAATGAGGTCAAAAGTTGCCCAACTATTGTAGAATCACCCATATATATTTGGTATTTTATTGTAAATTGTCCTAAATCTTTCAAAGAATTAATTAAAAATTTAATTAAAAAAAATCATGTGCAGCATCGTACACGTGGTAGAAGTGAAACTTCTTATAAACTAGGGAATGTGAGAAATTTTAGTTGTGTAGGCGTGGGAGAGCCCTGTGAGGGAACTATTTTCCGGGGCCTAAAATCATTCCAGCACGCGCCTGATCATGTACTGCTGGTTTATTACAATTATTTTAATAATAAAATTTCAGCTATCTAATATAACTAGTAGTTATTAACTACTTCACAATCCAATGTGAACTACTGGTTAATTTCATATGAAATAAATTTATATCCTTGGCATGAAAACAGAAGCAAATTTGCTTTCGGCACGCGCTTAAAGTGCGGCATGCTTTGAGCGCGCCACGCCTTTGTCTTTTTTTCAAATATCAGAACGCCACTAAAGAAGTTTCACTTCAAAAATAATCTTTCTTTAAATTTTTCTTTACTCTTTATAGTTTATGGGTTGAAATATAGGGATAGAGATTGATAGTAATTTGAAACATTTATCGGTGTTAAATTTGGACTACTCTGCAAGTTTGTCCTACATTTTTTTAAATTTATGCCATGGTGCGAATTTTGTTTTTGATTTTTTTACACGTGTCCCATTTCATATAAGGTAATCTATTGAAAATTGTTCTAAAATCCCTACGAATAAACTTTAAAATGTGCCTTAATTAAAAATCTAAAACATGATTTTTTTTACTTTGCCTTTTTTTTGCTTTTTTTCTGTATATAAAAAATCGATGTTTTGCATAGAGATTGTTAATGTGTCGGAGATATAAGGATATAGATACAAAATTGTCCTACCATTTTTTTAAATTTACTACCTACTACTGTGTGAGGTTTTCCCCAGTTTTTCAATTTTGAACTTCTGTGCGAATTTGTCATGTTTTTCAATTTGTCCTGCTTTTCGTACGATTGTCATTTTTTATGTTTATACCTACTTGCGATTTTTTCTCTCAATTTTTTAATTTTGAAAAATAAAATATGGCGTGTCCTAATTCATATTTGGTAATTTATTGTAAATTGTCCTAATCTTTCAAGGAATTGTATAGAGATAGTTTAAGTGTCTGAAAATTTGTCCTACCATTTTTTTCCATAATTTTTTAATTTGTAAATTCTTTTAAATTGGTCCTATCATTTTTCAAATTTATTCCTAAAACAACGCAGGCATTTTGAATTTTTTTTAAAAAATTCTTGCACCATTTTAAAAATGGATTTTTTCGTAAGTAATATCATAAGGGCATCTAATTTTTCCGAAAAAAAATGAAAAAAACACGTTGCTAAGTAATATTTTAACAAGAAGCATGAGTGCTGGTGGCAACAAAATCCGAGTCGAAGACGAGGATTTTTTCACCTACACGAATGCATTTTGTTAAAAAATATTTCTTAGCATTGTGTTTTTTCGATTTTTTCACGGGAAAAATTAGATGCCCAAATGGTATTTGACAAGACTATTTCATGAGTTCTGCATACACCTAGCTTACAAAACATACTATATATATATTATACATGCATACATAATAAATATGTAGGTATTAATTTGAAAACTGAAAAATAGGTAATTTATTTAATTACAAAATACTACAAACTTAATTATTTATGGTACAATTAAAATATAAATTGCAATTTTTGGTGACAACAGCTGTCAAGTTTTAATTAATTTTTGAATTTAAAATTACTGTGCAAATTTGACAACCATTTTTTAAATTTGTTCGAAAATTCCAATACGACACTTTTTTTTGTTTTAACAATACATACTAAAAATAAATGGATGTGAACTAATAAACAACAACTTATAACACCTCATGTTTATTTTTTTTCATTGTTATTTTATTTTATGAAAATCTAACCACAATCCTCCTATTGGTGACAGCATTAAATACCAGGGATCAAATTCTAGGGGCTCCTTTGTTTTTGAGTTGACACTTACAGAAAATGCTCGAATAATATGCGCCACTGCAGCTTTAATTTGTAGCAAGCCAAATTTTTGACCTACAAAATTTGCATTTTTAAGGTAAAATATGAAGTAATTTTTTCATTAAAACTTACCTATGCAAACTCTTGGTCCATCACCGAACGGTCTGAAAACGCCCTGCGATCTATCATTCTTTCTGTTTTCCTTCAAAAAACGCGCTGGAATGAATTTATCGGGTTCATCAAAATATTTTGGGTCGAGAAATAGTCCCTTAACCGGAATAACCATAACAGTACCAACATCTACGGTAACATCAATGTCTTTGAATTCCGACGTGTTAGCCGGTTTGTAAGAAAATTTTTCTGTGCATCGTTTGGAAAGGCTTTCCACGAATGGATTTTTTGAGATTCTGCAAAAGAAAAAAATAAGCGAAGTTTTCTTAAGACTATATCTAGCTCATGTTGTATTGTACTTACCATTAAGACATGCATCTAGATACTCCATTTCCATTATGACATCGTACGTCAATTTCCCACCATTTCCATCCATGGTATCGTTGATTTCTTGTCGCAATTTATCCTGTACTTCTGGATGCTTGGCAATTTCGTAGAGGAGAAAACTCATCACAATAGAACTGGTTTCGTAGCCATCTCCGAAAAATGAGGCCGCATGCGCCACCATGTCTTCGGGATCAAAATCCTTCGTTGAGTCTTTTAGTTGCATCATGGATTGCAAAAAATCTGGTCTCTGTACGTTGTTCTTTTCCCTGTAGTCCACAGTATCGAATACAATTTTTCTCAGTCTTTCAGCCACCTCTTTGGAAATAAATCTAATAAAAAATGTATTAATAGTTAAGTTCAAACTCCCTAAAGCGGTTAATAAAATAAATGTTGTAAATATTTCCTCTCCACAACTTTACCATTATTTGATACGAATATTATTACATAATCCAAACAATTGTATTGGGGTACCCCAATTACATATGCATATCTTGTATATATTGGAACATGAGACTTACCTTATAGATAAAACCTTCATAAGAGAGGGTATAATCATTGATACAAATATTTTTAAAGATTGCCATTTTTCTGGTGACAAAAATTTGTTGGCTATGTCTTGAAAGTCACAGTTGGGATCATTAAAACAATTTGCTTCCAGCCCAAAAGCACAACTCGCCACATTTTCCAAAGTTATTTTCGTACAAAGGTTTTTGGCCTCCAGGCAATTAACCCCAGAATCAATTTGTTTGTTTACATAGCTTACAGCTTTTTGACTTACATTGTCCAATAGGGTGAATATTGTTTTCATCTAAAATTTTAAATTATTCGATTAAATACATATATCTAGTTTTAGATAACATTCTTGAGGCAGTCATATCAACAAGCTAGATTTAACTGTCGCAAGAAAGTCAATATAAGCTTGATATAGCTGTTCCAAGAAGACTAAATACAGGGGGAATACAGGCATGTGTGACAAAGTCCGTTTGGGTAAAATACAAATTAATATTAACCTTTCCAGTGGTAAAGTTTGGTGTGAGTAGGGCTCTGGTTTCTTTCCAGGCTTGATCCTTTGAAAAGAATGGGTTTCTACCCATAACTGGGTCCACTTTTTTATCGACGAACATTTCATTGTTCATAAAACTTTTGAAATTTTTCACGTAAATGCATTTAAGGAATTCTGGATCTCTTACGAGCAAGCACGGAGTCACCGATTTGTATACTCCTACAAAGGGGTAATCCTTATATTCTCTGAAAAAAAACTTAATTTATTAATTATTCTTAATATAATAATGTTTGCAAAAGTCAAAATAATGAACAGTAGATAACTAATTTTTATCTAAATACCCTAATTAATTATACTATGATAAATGTAAGCCTTTTGTTAGTATTTTAATTATTTATTAAATTATTTTGGCTTAAATTTATCTTGAATGTACTGAAGTATTTGGTATACGAAAAATATATCATATTTATCTTAACAATATGACATTTTAAATACTAAAACTAAAATTTTAATGTATTTTATGTAAAAAAACAACCATTATTTTTTGTTGTTTATTTTAGTTATTAAATTGAAAGGGCAACAAAGTAAACAAGTTTCAGTATTTTTTATCCAAATTAAGGCCTCAAAATTTAATGCATTGCATAATTTTTCTTTTTCTCATCATCGTCGTGCATCTTTTGCAGCAAATTCCAGCAAATGTCTCCTAGCAATGAATCCAACTTCTTTCCTCTATACCCATAGATATCTACTAATGCCCTAAATTTGCAGTTACTTGGTGAAATCGTTCTCCATGTTCATCAGATCGGCAAATTTATCAGGATGAAAAAAAAAGAAAATGTATTTTAAATGTCATATTAACGCTAATTCTTTGCAAAACGGAAAGCATTTTTTCAATGAATTGGCGTCAATTTTAGGCCCGATATGAACCAAGAACATTTTCAATGACAGCTTTAACACTGCCATATTTTTGAATGCTTGATCTTTCATTAAACGTCGTATATCAGGTCCATTTAATATTCCTACAAAATTAAAGTAATAGGTATATCTCATAAAATTTTGTAATGAAATGTTGCGTTGGTTTGTCTTGGGCGTAAAGGTACCGCAACAAAAACAAAACAAATTTACAACGACGACATAAATGTTCGTCTCCTTTCTCTTTCTCTGCCACTTCCATTACCACTTCCATTTCCTGCTCTTTTATCATTTTTGGTTCTTAAATTCACTTTCAAGTAAAAATACAATTTTTAAATTTAAAGTGCCTTTATAATTCAATTCGATATTAAATTTAGATAAGACTTAATAAATAATATTGGAGATTAAATTTTTGGGTACTTTAATTAGTAATTAAAAAAACGACCCAAAAATTTCAAAAAAATTAAACTTTTTACCAAAAACACATTATAATTTTAGTTTTTCTATTTAATAAAGCACTTCTCTGCAGAAAAGTGCTTTATTAAATATCCCTTATATAATACGGCTACAATGGAACAAAAAATTTTCTATTTGATATTTATCTACCGATGACTTTGTATGAAGTCCCTGTATATTTTTAACAAAAAAACGTCAAAAATATACTGAACATCCAAAATAGATTTAAGTCAAAATAATTTAATACATAATCAAAATATTAACGAAAAACTTTTGAGATAATTGGGCAGAGCATTTTATTACGCAATTTTTTCGAATCCTAGACGTCCTGGAGCAAAAATAGTGGCATTTTTGAAATCAGCAGCCCAAAATTAATAAAATATTATCTTTGGGCGTACTCAATGTTAGTAATTGGAACTATCATAGTGTTATTATGTTAAATATTTTTTTTGGTAATTAACAGCAATATCAAATAGTTGAATAGTTGGAAGTAAGATTAAGGGATTATGTTTTGCTTGGAAAGTGACAACAAATAAATGTTCCTTAAAAAGACAAAATTTCGATAAAATAAGAAATTTCAATATTATACTTAATTATATTTTTGCCTATAGACGTAAAGGATCATGTCTTACTTGTATATGTCAAAAAAGCAATTTCCTAAGGACTTCTTCCCCAAAAAGCTCTTTCCAATATTCCCCACCAAGAAAGTCGGCTCGGGTCCCGGTACATTCCTTCTCTTCCAATACTCGAAAGTACGTTTGTACAGAAAGTACAGTAGAGTTACAACAAATATAAGCAAAACGACAAACATGATGTACTGTGCACGAATGAATGCATATGATACCTCAATTGATGTAAATTATTGTAAACATTTTTAAGGTCAAGATTTTTTATCTGGTTTATTTATTACAAGCCTAATATACAGTGTATGCGATTTAAAGGCGGGTTTATACAACAACTGATAATTTAGTAGACAATTTATTTCATAACTCAATTCTTAATTTATTGAATTATTTTATACATATAAATAACTTTAAAATCTGGTTTGTACAATTCATTAATTTAATAGGTATATATTTTATTTTTTCAAATGACAATATTAATAATTAAAAGTGACAAATAACACAAAATCCCTCATTAAAACTCGTGTTTTGTAGGAACTTTGTGGTATTTTTTAAGGCACAAACACAAAACACAATAATTATTAATTATAACCTTAAAAATGGAGAGAGAAAAATTATTGGCACATGCGCTGTTCAATCTTATTAATAATTCATAATTTATTTCATAAAAGTTAAATTTTATGAACTTTCAAGGTTATTCAATAAACACTAAATTGTGAGTTACTAACTTAGGGATTAAATCGTTGTATAAACTGTTTCATAGCAGATAGTACGATTTAACTTTTATGCTTTTGCACTAAATTGTGAATTATTAAATAAATTAATGATTTGAAGTTGTATACACCCGCCATTTAAAATACTTAAAATTACTCAACTTTTCTCTATATAAACTGCTATTGTAACATTAACCGTTTCCGAGATAGCAATGCTATCTTCGCGGCAATTTGGACAACCAGTATATCTGTTACCGAATGATACAATTACAAAATATAAACATTAAATTTATCTACTCCTTAACAAGGACATTTTAGTTAACTCTACAACTAAAGCAATATAAAGTGTTTATTTAAAATTAGAATTTAATGATTATTAATAACACTCCCCTTTACTGTTTTGTTTCAAGGTCAGTAAATTGCTTATAAAGTATTAGAGCTGGAAAGTACTTTCCAGATAGTTCAACCATCGCAAAAAATGTGGATTTTCGTTTTTGGGCCAATTTGAAAATTTTAAACGTATGAGAAGAAAGCTGGACTTTTTTCTAAAAAAACGTATATTTTAAAAAGGGTTTTTGGTATTAAATAGTTTTACCTTAAAGTAGAAAAAATGCAAACAAAGTTTTTTTGTAAAAATCGTGTTTTTTTTCTACACAGGGTGTTGCAATGCAATTAATGTAATACATTAAAATGGGAAGTTCCTTAGGGTCCATAAAGAAGCACCTGAAACTTTTTTTTCTAAATTCCAAAGACTAAAAATAATTTATAATAACCTTTAACCTACCAAAAAGTACGCCACTGATCGACTAGGAACTTTGGGCAAATCTGGTTGCCTAATTTAATTTATTATGTTATGGTTGGTTACAACCAGCGTTTCCAGATTCTGTCAAAAAAGTTGCCAGATTTTGTTTAAATTTAGCTCAATTACAAAAATTACAGAATCAGCAATGCAAATTGTTAATTTGGCGTTTTATTAATTGTTAATTATGTCATTTTTGTAATGACGGTAAATTCAAACAAAATCTGGCAACTTTTATGCATTTCTTTCAAATTTTAGGTTATGTGCTCAAATTGTAAATATCTCAACATGGATTATTTACACAAATTGAATGTTTAAAGTTTAACCTGTGACCTTGTCCTAAATTTATCTAAGTAAACAGAAAGAAAAAAACCGATGAAAAAATTAATTTTGTGGTTATGGATTTTTTAAAAATAGGTACTAAATTTTCTAATCATTGCTTAAGCTAATAGCTGGATAAGTAAATAAATACAAAAGGTTATTAGAGCTTTAAGGGCATAAAACTTTTGTTTTATTAAGTTTTTATTTATTTTTTGCAAGAAAAATTGTTAGTGACAATTTTTTAGAACTGGCAACCTATATTTTTTCTCTATCAATGGGAAAATATTTTTTTAAAAATTTTCTGTTCAGTATTTTAATATATTACATTAATACCATAACACCCTGTATTTAAATTTCATCTAAAAATCCTAGGTGACAACTTTTTTAGATGGAAATACTTATTTAACTTGGTGGATATGGTGCATTCCATACCAAATTAACCACTTTTGGCCCCGGCCCCTTTCGATTCTGCTGAATCTTTTTTTATCTTTTTTTTTACCCTATAGGCCTATCAAAAGCAAGTTTTCCAATTTTTTTCACCCAACCGAAAAAAGTTTTTAAGGAATTTTTCAAGAAAATGGCTCATCTATATTTTTTTTTTTAATTTACTTATTAGGACCTTTTATATTAAAACTTTTGTTTTAAACCTACTTTTCAGAAAAATTTTAATGAAATTATTCAGACCGATATTTAACTTTTTTTTATACTTCTCGGAAAAAATCGAAAATTCCTTGATTGTTATTTTTCTTTTTGTTATTCTCTTTTTTTTTTCATTTTTTTTTCAATTGAATATTTTAATAACTTAAGCTTATTTCCTCATAATGGCACTCTGGGGATTTTTAAGGATGTAGTTTGAAAAAATTAATGAATAAAATTGCATGTGGTTATCATAAAAAAAATCGAAAGTAAGAAAAGATAGATAGAAAAATTCTAAAACGACGCAGGCATTAAACGTGAATTAAAAAAATAACCCTTCATTGATTATTTTTATTAAAAAAAAGATTGCTATTAAAAAAATTTATAATTTTAAAAAGTAAAAAATTGTTTTGTCTTATTGCTCAAGCTTTCTTTAAAACTCTTTGTAAATTTCAATTTTTTTTTAAATTTTGACTTTTTTGCACGTGTCCTAATAATTTTTTGACTTTTTTTAATTTAAAAAAGTATCGATTTAAAAAAAAAAAAATAAACTTTCATTGTTTTTTATCAAAAAAAAAGAATCGATTTTTTTTGCAAAAAGATAGGGATAGAGATTTTTTAGATTTTTTTTCACTGAACTAACTTTAAATCATGTTGGATGACTTCTTTACACTTGTCCTATTCCATATAAGGTAATCTATTGAAAATTGCCCTAAAACTTTCTAAAAAATCACTGTCAAAAACATTTTTTTGACTGTTTTATACCATTGTGCGAATTTGTCATA